CAATTTTTTTATAAAATCTAGCCCTACCCTCAAATTTAGGCATTTTGTAATAATTAAAAATGTAAACAGTTTTTTAATGAAATATCATAACAGATAGCGCCACCAGAATTTTAAATGTTACTGGGAAAGTTAAGCGATTCGTTGCTGAATTTTTTAAATTTAAATGGACCCACATTATATTTCTGGATTTTTCGTCTCAATGGAAAATGGCAGAGTTTTATCAAAATCGATCTATTAAATTTTGAGAACGAACACAATTCTGTAAGCCTCATAGAAAAAGCTTCGCTAACTCTCCGCTTTAATTACTATAGTGAAATCAGCTTTAATATTTTACTTTACTACAAAATTAGAAAGCTTCTATAAAAAATAAAATACTGTATAAAGAACAAAACAGAGTTTTAACAATGACAGAACTTAAATAAAAAAAAATAATTTGATTTTTTCGAGTTCTCAGAGTTAGTTACTTTATTTTAAAATTCTTTATAAATATTAATAAAAAATATATCAACTAAATGTAAAAAAAATATTCAAATATCTTTAGCTGCATGACGAAAATATCCAATCGAACTTTCTTTTACAAAGGTCTTATCCTTAAGTTCGAAATGAATTAATTTTAGAGTTATAAAAACACTGACAAACTTCTTGCTGAATACGAATGATGAGTTAAACTATATTTAACATAGAGTTCGAGTTGGCAAACTTTCGAGTTTACTCAAACTACATAATAAGGTCGTATGTGGCTTAAATTTCTAGATCAATATAAAATTACGACTGACTTCCGGATTGAAAGTAGTTGAAGTAGAAAAGATTTCTCAAACTGTGTGGACCTCCTGGAGAACATTTGCAACTTTCCAGGGGTCCGCGGCATTCTCCAGGAAGTCCACGAAAATTCGTATACATACTTAAATGTTATTTAAATAAAAACAATATAAAAAGTAATAAAAAAAACCCTTAAGTTTATTCAAGTAATTCATTATTATTTAATATATAGTAAATAATAAGATTACTTAATTTGGATGACTTGCATTCAACATACTAAATACTCTCATATTAAACGATTTTATTGTTCAAATTTAATATAGTTTTTATTAATATTTATATTTAAAAGAAATAAAAATATCCCTAAAAATATAATTTAATGATTTATTATTATTATTAAGTTCGAAAGATTTATTGCATTTCAGCAGAAATTCTTACTTTCGAAAGGCTTCCAAGCATTTTAAAATGTTATTTTCCGGTCGCAGTTTTGGAAATGACAACTCGAATTGCTCATGTAAATGTACCAATTCGAATAAAATAAATTTTTCGCTTAAGTACATTACACAAAAACACAATGTCGTAATAATACATAATTGCGATTTTAACAGTTAAGGTGTCGATCCGTTCTCTTCGAGAAAACTCATAAAAACCTAAAGAGAAATCGAATTTCGGATTTCTCATAATTCATTTCTTGATTATATAAAAATCCTATAACGAGTAAAATGACTTATTCGCAGCTTAATCTGAGTATAATTAATATAACAAGACCTTTATAATGTATCGTGGCTAGAGCATTTAGTACTACGGGCAAGCTTAAATATGGCGTCTTTTGGATAAGCCTTTCATTAGTCTGTTACATATTTAAAAATCATTTAAAAAACACTTTTTACTAATATAATAATTATTATATTTCAATACAACAGAAAAAGTCACAATATAAATTCATAGGTAGATTTACTGTATAGGGCCTAATTATATATACAAAAATACTATTAAATTATTGTTAAATGTTAAATATATAAATAATGTCAATTCGGCTCTTTATTCGTATATTTTATTTAATTATTCAAAATTATAAAAAAAAATTCGTATGTTATTACATAAATGTGAAAAAACGAGTGAAAATTATTAATTAACGAAAGTAGAATTTTGATAGTACTTTTAACTTTTTTATTAATTTAATATAGTAAAAGGTTGTTATATTTTCAAGAGTAATACAAAACATTTTTATTAAACTTGTATTTTTGACTCTTATCATAAAATAAAAAAGTCTAAAACACAACAACAATAAACGTATCTGCTTTATGTCTCACGACAATTACTGTGTTTATATTAATATTCACAGTAAAATTTGTATTCTATTGTGCATTTGTTATTAATTAATGTCAATCTGTTAAATTATTTAATACGTTGAATATTTTAATATATTTAAAGTTCATTTTTATTTGTCATGAAATTAGATATTGTATAATGTAGGTATTGTTTTATTACAAAACTAAAAAGCATTTATTATACTTCAAAATAGAGTAAAAAGTTCAAAATCAATTAAAAAGTGAACGATAGGTATTAGGTTTCTGAAGATTAAATTCTATAGTAGTACAATACTTCTTTCTAAAAATAGAATAATTGGAGTGAGTAGGAGTGAATAAACTGTAAATATTTCGTAACATCTGATATTATTTTAATCAAATAAATACATTAGATCTTAAACTTTCACTACATCCAGGATTTTATATTATAAAAAGGAGAGAGAGGAAAGAAATAAACATTTTCAACTACCATAATAATGAGCATCGACTTAAAACAAAAAAATTATTTAGAAGAGAATATTCTAAATCCGTTTAAAAGAATAAGAGCATTAAAATAACATTATTAATTAAAAAATAAAAAATATAATAAGTTTAATATTACAAATACAGATGTGGAAAATAGCATAATGATGCAGTGAATTCTAATAGTGAGATTTTTTCAACTCTACATATATATGATATATTTCCTTGCAAATAGCGTAGTTTGTTTCTGACTTTTTATTATAATCCGATTTCATCCAATTTCACTATGTAATTATTCAGAAATACAAAATAATATATTAATAAAAGTTATGTGCTTCTTAATTTTACAATGTCACATTTGTTACCTTGTATTTATACTAGCGCTAAGATCTTTTGACATGCATCTGAAATAATATGAATTAATTAAGAGCAAAGTTGGTAGACAGATTATTAACCTTGTAACGATTTTTTCATTCCATTTAATATAATAAATTAACGGTTACATTTGGGTTTTTTTTATTTTTTATTTTACTTATCTTTTTGTGTATATTATTCATATGGTGAACTGTACTGTACAGTACATATATGTTATACAATATTTTAAGTTAGTAAAATGTATTTATTTTTCTTTGATGTTAAAGCGAGTCGTCGTAAAGAATATTGATTAGATTCTTAATATGTTACTTATTATAACCACTGTGTTTTAGTGCCAAAGTAATATGATGAATCTCCCGCAGCATATCAATTAGGCTTATGTTAAAACATATGTGTAAGCCTCTTTTTACCAAGTCTCTGAATGAAACTAATTTAATATTATGCGGATAAAAGGAGTTATTGTAATAGACGGAAGAAGAATCTGGCTTTCTACAGTCCCTAATTATCTATTTAGTTTTAATTTTAAGACGAAGACTAAAACATGAGTTTATTCTTGCCTGTACTAATACAGAGCCAAGAATAAACTCATACAATAATATGCAAAGAAATCATTTATTTGCACATTATTGTATGTCAATACGCTTCATTATTTGCCGTCTGTCTCCAAAACAAAAGGAATCAGTAGCGAAGAATGACAGGTCACATCATTCATTGCCTTCAGGCCTATAACTTTCAGTAATCCGGCATTCTTGCAAATTTGGCGTCCTATGTACAACGAATGGCCGAATTATCGAGTCTACTGTATAAGTATCTGCATCTTTGTATTATATCTTTTAAACTAAATAATAGTTATAATGATAGCCGAAAACACTATTCTGTTCAATGTTTTGTTATTGCGATGATAAAGATTCTAAGATTTCGAATCTTCCATCAGAACTTAATGCTCGTAATACAGTTTGATCATACTGTTCTCCAATATACTACGTTACTATTTTAAGATCTGAACTACGATCAATTTTACAGGGTACTAACACAATAGTCGGACTCAGTTTCGCTCATAAGGGCAAGAGTGTTTCGCAATTTAATCAGCTATCGTAGACAGAGACGAAAAACAATGTTCCAATTAATACTATCCAATAAAAAATAATTAACGTCTACTCGGAATTCGAATCCGGGTCCCTCCTGATGACAAAATTCACATCTTCCGACAATTCGATCATATTCATTCAAGTTCATCTCATTTTAAAAGTAGATAAGTTTGAGATTAAATTTAGAATTGCCGGAGAAAAATCTGTAAAATATAGATGCAAGTATACAGAAGAAACCGGCAAAATTGACGCATTAATCAATAATATCTACGATAAATTATCCGCTCTGCAGAATTTGTATAAAATATACAGCAGAAACTGTAAAAAAATCAACATCAGATATTATTATCCGTATAGCCGTATAGCATAATTATTGTTTGGGAGATTTTTAATAAACTGATGAGGATTAACATCCATTACGTCCGTTTTAGTAAAAAGAATGGAGTAAAGACAGGGGCGGATCTACATAGGGATTAATAGGGCTTAAGCCATGGGTCCCCAAGTGTCAAGGGCCCACAAAAATTGTATTATCATAAATTTTTAATACTTTTTCATTAACAATGAGCAGTTATCGTATAGTTAATATTAATAATAATAAAGATAATTTATAGTATTATTTGTATTAACAAAAAATGGGGCCCCATTGGACTTAATAAGACCTAAGCCCCGAAAAACCTAGATCCGCCCGTGAATAAAGGAGTAAATAAAAAGGACTAAACTAAATCATAATTTATCGTAATTTTTTGTCGTAATTTTGTAATTTATCGTAATCATCATCGTAATTTTTAATACTTTTATAATACTAAAATATGAACAAACTTCTTCATTATTGTGTATTTTATAAGGAAAAATGTTAGAAATTAACGTAAGCGAAACCACAAGTGAGTTTATAACTTTAAATACTGATACATTTCCGGTACTTTGCGGACAATCTAAATGATCCTTTATACAAAATGGCGACATTAAATACAATCTGAATGAATCCATCAATCGAATGTTTACTCACCTTTATGAAACATTCTCATTATGTTTAAAAATTGAAAGACGTTGGGGGGACTTATTATTTTTCAAGAAACACACATCTGTTTGACGTCTGCTGCGGAACCAGACGCCAAAATGGCGACCACTTAACCTTACCGATCAATAATTGAAAATATGATTGCCATGGTAACAGTATCAATGCTTCGCCCACGAATTATTCATTAAGCTCTCTTTTATTTAAAAATATTCTCTTAAAATTATAACATCGACTCATTTATACTCGTATATAATACCAAAAAAATTATTTTTATTCGAATAAAATTTTCTAAATTCTTAATGAATTCTACGAAATATAAAATTACTCCGAAACTTTTATTTTATCAAAATGAATTTTTAATCAATGATGTATTCGATATTTATAAACAATTTTATTTTCATAAATATTAACTCGTTTAATAAATCACGTGCGCGAACGTAATAACATATATTGATAATTCTAATGAATAATTTATTTTATATATAAAAAATAAAAAGAAATTTTATTGGTTTATAACGTATTGACAAATATTATTTAAATTAATAAAAAGAACTTGCTGATTGGTTTAATTAAATGTCGATCAAATACGTTAATCAATGAATAGGAATGAAAGAAAAATTTGTAAAACTTGATACCGTTGGAAGAAAAAAACTTAGTTTTTTACTCATTTGTGTCGCCATCTGGTGTTAATAATTATATCTATTTACAGCTCGTTTCACTCCCGGCTATAAAAAATATATTTAGCTTCTTGAAATGTGTTCTTTAACTTTTCATCGTTTAGAGATTTAGCGCATATATTACGAATAAAATTAATTGTACACAATTAAACTTTATAATAAATGGCCGACATATTGGTATGATTAATTAAAGTAACGGAGTAATAGCCTGGAAGAAAATTGAATTTTACTTTCATATAAAAACCAAAATCTTTAATTTCTCTCGTTTTCCCCATTTTTTAAAACTGAAGATATAAAATAAAATCGATAATTTTCTTTTGAAATGTTTATATCGATTAAACATTTAACAAATAGGCCTATATAAAAAACAGCAAAAACAAAAATTCCAATTATTGCAATATCATTTACATATTAAAATATTTTAAATTGTTTGCCCTTATACGTAAGTTGGCCTATATCTAACTAATGTAAACAATTCTTTTTTTTTTATTCCAAACACTTTAATAAAAATTTATTAATTTGAAACTTTCTCAACACTTTCATCAAGTACAATACTAGAGCAGGCAGTACAGTACTATTTCTATTAATCAAATATATGATATCACGTATTGTTTATCCAAGGGACAAATTGATTCTACATGACATATGTTTACAATTGCGATTGATAATAAAGATTTAGAGTTTGTTATTGACATTCGAAAATATCAATGTTAATAAACAATAAAATAGCAAATGCAGTTTCCACGTGTGAAGTAATGGCGTGAAAATATTAAAAATTACTTAAAATACGAATAAATAAGTCTGAAACGTGTCAATAATTTTATTCAATTTTTACACAAATTTGAGCTTTTATACTTTCCGAAAATAACGTTTTGCATCTGTAAGATGAACTGTTTTTTCTTTACTTCAAAAAAATATTTGTACCTAAAATACATTTATACTATAATTATACTAGAATTCATTAGTCATTTAAAATAATTTTAATGTATTTTAAAAAAATTAAAAAAAAAAAAAACGTGAAGGTGGAGGATGGTGAAGGTGGGTCATTCCTCCATATACAGTACTGTACTGTACATCACTTCAGTGCATTTACACACACGTTTATAGTGTTTATCAGGTTTCGAAGCGGGGAGAATGATGTGAGTGAAGCACTCCTATAAAACATAAAATGCATAATCAGACTTACAAGTTAGATATGTCCTCAAAGTTTCAGTTGTAGATGTTAATTAGTAGTGGATGAAATTTGAATTGCAGGATTTGAGAACGTAATATAGAGCAAATTAAATAAAATCGTTAATAATAATAATAAAATGTACAGTGCATATTTTAGATTAATTGTTTTGCTTTAGGCCGGGAAAAAACTCAGTTCGCTTTATTATGTTGCATTATTTCATACGACAAAGATCAAAGTTGCGACCTGATCTCGGCAACAGATTTGAAAATACAGATGGTGTTGTTTTTCGAGCGTAGGGACAGAGACAATTGAAACGCTCATCATTTATAACTTGTACTGTACACAGTTTCGCTTGTCGTCAAGAAACGACAAGCGAAAATCAAGTAGATGTTAAAAATAATGAATTGGAATCTGAATTTTCAATGGTTTCCATTGAACAATAATTGAAACGATTGAGTTTTTTGCACCCGCATCTGAAAATGTTGTCTAATTGAATGATTCTATCTCTCTTGTTGAAATTAGTCCAACAATTGAACTAGCGACTGAATTAGTTGAAACCAGAAAATTGTTTTGATGATATCGTTGGTTGGGCAGAAACTTATGACCAAAGTTTTTCAATAAACTGTCATAAAGAGACCCTTTATTCTCAATAATAATTTCAATCAATATTTTAAAACCTCTGAAAATGTATGTTTCTCTAATCAATATTTTCACCGAACCATAGAAAATGGCGAACGCATTCAAAGATCGTGGTTGGTTTATTCGAAAAAGGCTGATAAAGTCTTTTGTTATTGTTGTAAAATATTTGGTTCGATTACAATCATGTTGGCTCGAAACTGTATCAACGATTAGCGATACATTTCTCAAATTTTAAAAAGACACGAGCAAAGTGTTGAACATTTTGATAGCTTTAGCAATTGGGTGGAACACAAAAACCGATTGCAAACAGCAATATCAGTGGACAGTTTGATGAATAAAAGTTTGCAAAAAGAAGTGGAACATTGGGATAAGGTTTTAAGAAAATTGATTGCATTGACGATGATAATGGCACAACAAAATATTCCATTTAGAAGTTCATCAGATAACGTTTATAAAGAAAATAATGGGAATTTTTTGAAAATTTTGAAATTCTTAGCTGAATTTGATCCAGTTTTGGAAAAACATTTAATGAGGGTTCAGGGAAAACCGAATTCTGTTCACTATTTAAGAAAAACCATTCGAAATGAAATTTTGGAACTGATCGGACAGAGCACCAAAAGTAAAATTTTGAAAAAAGTGCAAGATTCTAATTATTATGCATCGATCGTTGATTGTACAAAAGACACAAGCCATCAGGAACAAATACCAGTTATGGTTCGATAGTTGATGTGGATCCCAATAATAATATTCAAATTAATCAAAGTTTTCATGGATTTCATTTAGTCGAAGGTTCAACAGGAATTGAATTGACGCACGCCATCAGCGATTCACTGGAAAAATAAAATTTATCAGTAGAGAACATCAGGGGTCAAAGTTATTACAATGGTGCCAACATGAAAAATATTTGAAATGGCGTTCAAGCCTATATTTAAAAAAATCCACGAGCAATGTACATTCATGCCTCAATAACACTTTGAATTTACTGGGGGTTGATTCAGCGCACAGTTCACCCCAAATCGCACTATTTTTCAACGTTATTGAACAAGTTTTTAAATTTTTCTCAGCTTCTACGAGAAGATGGGACATCTTACAATCTAAGTGTCCATCATTTACAGCCAAATCATTAAGTGATATACAATGGGAAATTCATATTAATGCTGTTAAGACTCTAAGATTTGAATTACCTAAAATTTATGAAGCATTACAAGACGTTTCAAAAAAATCTAATGATGCAATCACAAAAATTACAGGTGAATCCATCGCATCAAAAATCACAAATTTTAACTTTTTTATGTTCAATTATAATTTGTTATGACATCTTGTTTGAAGTCAATATATGCAGTAAACAACTTAAATCCCTTTTAATAAATATTTCAGAAAGATTAGAATCGCTAAAACGAACAATTAACTTTTTGAAGGAAAACTGCAATCAAAACAAATTTGATTCAATTGCAAAAAAAAAACTTGCTGGTATTTTAAATGCGGAAAACGAGTTTGATTTTTCTACAGAAACTTTGAGACGACGACGGAAAAGAAAAAGTTTTTTGATTATGAGGAAAACGTCGAAGAAAATTTAAGCCAGATTCAGAAATACGAAAAAGAAATTTGTGATAAAATGTTTATTTGTCCTCTTATTTCTTTGGAAGAACAATTTAAAACATTTCAAACTGGTATTGAACATTTCAAGTTTTTGTTCAACATAAAAAATATTTATTTTATGTCAGATGAAGATTTAGAGACATCTTGTGAAAATTTAGAAAAAAATTAACAGATGAAAATAAACGAGATATTTCCGAAGAAGAATTAGAGTTAAAACTGCATCCCAGCTAAACGAATATATGGATCCAGAGAAATGTTTGAATTTTATTTACAAAAACAATTTGAATGAAATTTACGTAAATAGATTTATCGCATTAAGAATCGTGTTAACATTACCCATTACAGTTGCTGCTGCGAAACGAAGCATTTTCAAGATTAAAATAATTAAAAACTATTTAATGTCTATAATGAGTCAACAAAGACTTAAAATCATGGCGATGATTACGATTGAAAGTGCCATTGTTAATAATTTAAACATTTCAGATTTGATTGAATTTTGTAACAGCGAAAGTTCGAAAAGTTACATTTTCAATGTAATTATTTCCTGGATTTTTGTACTAAATTTGAATTTAAAATTAACCTAATAATTACATTAAAATTAACCTAATAATATTCGTACATAAATCGATAGTAAAAACTGTAGTAAATATTCAGAATTCATCAAAAATATACAGCAAAAATTTATGCAGAAGAATTATGAAAACCAAAATTTTTAGTTTTGTTTGTAGTTAGTTTTCAAATCATTATTATTAACTAATGCTGAGAAATAATTTTAGATAGATGGTTGTATGGCCGAGGTGGTTAAGTGAAGACATCAGCCTACGCTCTGGGAACTGGGGAGCAAAGATAATGGAGCAACCAATGAAAATTTTTATAACGGGTCTCGATATATTCCTGAATATATCGAGCCCCGTTCCTCGCCACCCAGCCGCTCCCATTATAGACCATAATGAGCACGAGTAAAAAATGCTCTTAATGTCTACAGAACGAAAAGAGTCAAAAAATGAAAAAAGTAGAGATGGCTGAAGGCGTGAAATTAGGTATATTTTAAG